TAATTGGACATGAAATTATATTCCATAAATGGGGGGAGTGCGGAGGGAAGAATTTATTTCTGCAAGCTGTTATACCTGTAAAAAAACTTCAAAAAAACCCCACACATGTATGAACGTATCTGAAGTTTCTACAAAACTACGTAACATTGTTGTGACCACCAAAGATACTATGGGAGGAAATTTTGTTTTTTATATATATATAAGAATGAAATTAAAGAATGACACAAATCATTTTCATTACATACTGGCAGTGCTTTTATGTTCCAGGCCACATATTTTATATTCTCTTATGCTTCACCTGTGTCATTAGCCAATTTAATCATAATGGTACTAGAGAAAGAAGCTATTAGATTTGTCTCACTTGACCATTTTTCCTTAACTGACCGYGTTACTCTATACAGTAACATTTTCTCTTGGAGTCATGTTCTGTTCTAGATCTGTTTTATTATTATTTTAGTAGATGCAACTTGACTTAACAAAATTACAGTCTCAAGCACAATTTTCTTGTTTTCTTGAAAGCTATCATACAAATATCTTCRTAAGATTTAACCAATATTTAGAAATATATCATGGATTTAGTTCTAGACAAGAAGAATGGACACTCATTTAAATTCATGTTAATTCCTGCAGTAACATTGGATATTGAAATGCAATATCTGTGTGCATGGACAGAAAAACTAAAATGACAACAGAGCAAGAATCTAAAATACATGCAAACCCCGGCTAAAATGCAAAAACTAACAATATCATCTGACATGCAATATTTCCAACTGCTTATGTTAGTGATTATAGCAATATTGTCTGTGTGGTAGTAGAACCTAGCAATACTGTCAGTGAATTTTACAATGAAACCTGCAAGTGAAATTTAGTTAGTAATAAACAGTGAATAAATCTTTCAGAAACATTTCAAGCTCTTTAACAGACAAAAGGCTTTTCAAACCTTTTCAGACTTGTGGAAAACAAATATGTAATATGTGCAGGAAATTATACTGGCAATGTATTGAATGTTAATTATATCCAAAGGAGAAGCCACTATTCCARCAATAGCAGTATGTTCACAAAGGGAAAACAAAAGCAGTATTAGAAAGAAATTAGTTTTGACAAGATCAGTGAGAATCYAAAGCTAAAAAGCATTACAGAAATATATAATTATCCCCAGATTAGTGTTATGAATCTAGGATGTTTGGAAGTAAGCTTATACTTCAAGAATATTCATTAAAATTGAAGCTTGAAATTTATACCAAGGACAGCCAGACAAACACAACACTGACGTCATTCCCAAGACATGTTTTTCATGACTTAACACGGATTTTTTGTTTCTTTTCCCTCTAATACCACACTGCTTGATGACACGTGCTGAGATTGCTTAATAATTTAAGTAATTTTCCCTTGCCTAGAAACAGTGAGTACTCTTACACCTCCAGTATGAATTATAAATACCTTGGATTTATGATACCTATAAAGTGCAATCATTAGGAGCTCGAAAAACCAGGGAAACCTAATTCTTCTGCTGGACTTGTAGAGAAGACCTCAACCTGACAGGCCTCACAGCAAACTTAATTTGTAAGGAGGCATCTGCTGACACTGACAGTAAYATCTAGTCATACGCAGGCTTACATTACACAAGAGAAAATCTTCATGACTGGGATGATGCAAAAGGTATAAATTGATGGCAATAACCCTGCCGTTAGAGAATTGAGCTGTTCTCCTCTTAGAAATAATTATGTCGGCTGCAGACCTCGATATACCTAATGCTGTCTTGAGTTGCAGAGACCAGAACCATGCTCACCATTCTCTTGTTGCTCTCATAGTTGTCCTGGTCAGGCCAGTATCACCGTCTCAAAAGTTGTGATGGCAGCACCATAGCTCAGGAAAAAGCCTGGTTTAAGAGAAAACTAGCTGAACTCAGTAGCAAAGGCTCAGTTGGGTCCAACTGAAAGCACAGACCCAGCAGACTCAGCCTCACCATCAGCAGGCAGAGGTGAAAGTGCACCCACCATGACAAATTTCCACAGTGCTGGCTCTCAAAATACAGATAATTGGGCTATCACAATCCATTTTGTCTCTCATCCTGACACCCAGGACAAGCTTCTAATTCTGTTTTGTTTTCACTGGAATGAGAGTTTCAAGTCCCATTTTAGCTATTTTTATATTTAAATACATTTATATTTAATTGTTTTTATTTCCACAGGGAAGATTCTCACAGTTCAGAATGCTAAATCATCCCAACCACATTACCTAACCCATCTTTTAAGAAGCAGCAATTATTATTGCCTTGGAAAAATAATCAGACACAATATTTCTAAATCTTGCATCCTCCATTGCAAGATACTCCTGTTCACTCCTGCTCACTGTTCAAGACTATGACACCATCATGCCTTGTGACCAAAAATACAATGCTGGAATGGGGTATTACCTAGATACCCATCACTTAAATGACTAAAATCTGAAGGCAAAAAATTAGCTGAAATGAACAATAGGACATATTCCAGGCTCTCTTCCCAATGCACACGTACACTGGMATGATTGGATGTAGTCCAGATTTTCCCAGTGTCTATGGAGCTACATGTTTCCTCTGTGTAGTAGGTGAGACCAAGTCAAAAATTCACCAAAACCACCCATACATTAGCAAAAAAGCCCTAAAACATAACAAATWATTAAAAAGAAGCATCTACCTGTGTAATGATAGAAACAGGAACAGCTCATGATGGTTCAGTTTTCCAAGTAATTCGGATGGACACAGTCCCTGCATTGTGCAAAGTCTTTACAAAAGTAGTTCTCTGACTGAAGCCCAGYCTCCTGCAATTTTGTGGTTGATTATGGTTGATTACAAACTATGAAGGTTTTGTCACACTGAGGCATTTATAAACACTGCCTCTACGTGAATTTTCCTTCTTCTAATACTGCTTGAATTCATTCTGCAGCCTTTCCTTCAGTTCAGGCATTCTCTTTGTTTTGGACACCCACATTCCTGAAAGTGATACTTCACAAATTCACATTTGAGATCTTTAAAAGCTTTGGCAAGTTTCACTGAAATCATCCCCAAAGCAAAAAAAGTTCAAGTAGGGAAGGTGAAGGAGTTTGGGTGGATGAGGAACACACATCTATGTGCAAAGTGATTTCAAAAGCTTTGTTTCCTTTGAAAGCTTATTCCAGAAGGTACTTCCAGTCTTTCTGTAATCGTGTTTCATGGGAAAACCCCGGCTCCAAAGTGGTGGATCTGGCCTTTATTTTGAACTTGGAAGATGCCACCTTGGTTGATGTGTCCTGAGCAAATTTGGTTGCCAGCACAGCATGTGAGCTGAAGCCTTTGCAGCGTCTCTCACAGCTACTCGTTTTATTTTTATTTTTTAGTTTTTGTTTTCCTCTGCACCACGCCAAAAAGCATCTACATGGCATAATGTTGGGGAGATGCTAACCATGCCATACCAGAACACCTGATGGCTGAGGGATACCTGCCAGTTGCCTTCCGCCTTTTAAGGTCTCTTCTCCACAGGACGAGCTGGGCTCACTCTCACACCAAACCCCAACTGGAAACACTCGCCCTTCTCATTTTCTGCCCCCAGCCACAGAACCTCGACAGCAGAGGGCTCTTCCCGCAGGTGCCGGTGCGATGCCGGGGGTGCTGAGGGCAGGATATGGGTGGGGCCCGCCGGGCCTCCGAGCCTCAGAAACCGGGGCGGGCCCGGAGCTTCCGTACCGGGGGCGGCCGGGACAGTGCCCTCGGGGACCGGGACAGTGCCCTCGGGAGCCGGGACAGTGACCTCGGGAGCCGGGATAGCGACCTCGGGAGCCGGGACAGTGCCCTGGGAGGCCGGGACAGCGACCTCGGGAGCCGGGACAGTGCCCTCGGGAGCCGGCACAGCGACCTCGGGAGCCGGGACAGTGCCCTCGGGAGCCGGGACAGTGCCCTCGGGAACCGGGACAGTGCCCTCGGAGCGGCACAGCGACCTCGGGGGCCGGGACAGTGCCCTCGGGAGCCGGGACAGTGACCTCGGGAGCCGGG